TTACATCTTTGCCTTATGACATTGATGGCATATGTTGCTTCCAACTGGATTATGATAAGGGTGCAATGATGAAAAGTTCCAAAGATGGAAGACCGTGGAATCAATGGCAGACCTCCAACAGATCAAACTTCAAAGGTGTGCGTCGCCTGACATCCTGCAGTGGAACATTTGAATGTGCAAATAAAGATTGTCCATATGAACACTCTTATGGCAAAATAAATAAAGTAAACTTTGAAAGAAAGGGTGAGCATGTTTATTGTGCTTGCTGTGGATATCCAGCCAAGAAAATTCACTGGAGAGTTTGCTGACACTTATGTTCAAGTCTTCCACTATGGTTAACATAGCTATGTTGAACGAATTGAAATTGCTTCCTTGATGCAACACGGCAGTGTGCACCCCCTGGCTAAAGAATTYTGTTATTTAAACGCTGAACATGACAAAGTGCAGGGAATGAAAACGATTAATTTAAGTGTTCCGCACCCCACACTTAAAGAAATGGTCACGCTACCTAGTATGGACTGTGAAGCTGAGTCCACGGAGACAATTTTGTGAATTTTGGGAGCAACTAAACAGCGTAAGTGTTTGTTCCATATTGTTCCATACAATTCAATCTCACTTGATCATTTGCTAAGCCTTGCAACACTGTGATATCATCATCTAACTKGGATGTACTATCAAAAACTAATTGTATTTGCTTTAAAATTTAAATTGAAAATTTACTTTTCTCAATTTATTAGGCACTGGCTGAATTCTCAGGCAATTCCAAGTATATATTTGATCCTCAYGGCATAATCACAGACGAGCATGGTGGAAATCGCGCAAGCATTCAAATCATGCTTAATGAGGATTTGCTCAAGCGATCGAAATCCTGTGAGATGCATTTCTACGATTGCGCCCACAAAGTGTCAAAGAGTGACTGGAGCMCACGATCCAAAACAGAATTTTTGGAAATGGTGCATTCCATTTATTGTGCTGAAACTCCCAGTGCATATGAGGTCAAACGCCGTGCTCTGATGGATTGGGCAAAGACTAAAGAAAAAAGAGGACAACAATTTCTGGCATCCACGAAGGTTATCARTAGCTTTATCCTTTCTTTCAAAAAGGTGTTTGGTTTGCATTTACCCAACAATTAATGTACTACATGTATGCATGTAATCAGTTTGGATAGGGGAGGTCTCAAGTTTACTGATTAATTACTGCTATTGTGGGCTGACTCATGTAAACCAAATCACTGCTGTAAGCTCTTTCACGGTTTGAATTAACTCATATCTGATTGTCTTTCATTGACCCAGTTTTCACTTACAGTCTAAATTACTTTTCATTAATATTTAATTTCTGTTATATCACATCCAGGTTTCATGTATTTCGCGCATTTAAGGGTTCAGACACACCCAACACAAACATGGCTGAAGTGGGTCATTYACGGAATGCCGTAAGTGGAGCGAAGAGGGAGACTTTGTCCAGAGTAGCAGAAGATTATATTGTGGAGAGCGCTCTCCTTCAAGCAAASCTAAAAATGTATTGGTGAAAATAATGTGTCAATATGTTGGACATTATTTTTTATCTATATTTCCCGTTTCAGCCATTTTTTATAAGCATCAGCGCTCACCTAGTGTGTTTTGGTCTATTTTTGGCTCAACTGAGACCAAATATATAAGTGTTCCTTGTTATAATGTGTCTCTCATGGTTGTTTTCTTACATTTTTTACAGGTTTGAAGAAGGTTCTTATGGTGGTGGGAAATGCAAGACCCAAAGACAAAAGGATTTGACATCGTTCAAGCGACAACTGGACAGGGCAAGTCAATTTGCCAAGGAGCTTTCAGAAAACACAGTAGATGCAGAAGCATAATAATAATAATAATATGTGGTATTTATATAGCGCCGATATCCTCTGAGTTCAAAGGCGCTTCACATGCATAGATCATTTCACACGGACCGCTGTTTAAGGCGCAATTGGCAGCCACGCGGCTTACAATCATGAGGATACATACATACAATGCAAGCATACAATTTTGGCACACATATCGAAGAAAAGTCCTCACATCGAGTAAAAGGAAAGGCGGTGAGCATGACAAGCATAATTGCGGACCTTAGTGGATCAGATGACGACGATATTGATGGTGACACTGATGGCATCCGAAGCTCGCACAGAAAAAGAAAATGCAGGATCAAAGATTTTAAGGAGTCTCTAAAAAAAGCCAAAATGTTAAATATGACACTTGGTCCAATTCACCGTCTTAAT